TACGCGTAATACTCAGGCCATACGCGTAATGGGCTGTCTTTTGCCATTTCCCTACGCGTAAAGGGCGTAAATCTTCCCTGCCTAGCCATCCCTTACCCGTAATGTGTAACATCCCGATTTAATTAGAATTGTTTTTAATTAAATAATTAGATAATGTGATATGATATTTTGTTGGGGACTAGATACCTTAGAATTATGAAAGTTGAGGTTTTAGGGGTGTATGGCTAAATGTGTAGAGACATAGGGGTGTGTAGTATAATATGGATTTTTATTACTATTATATTATAATATTATGATTATTATTATTTTATAATAATAATTAAATAATTATTTAATTGGGATAGTTATTTTAATATTGGGATATATTAGAGTGAGAAGAAGAGAAAGAGAGTCAGTACGTAGAAACAGAGAAAGAGAAGCGTAGAAGTGAGAAGAGGAGAAATCACTAGGAAGCTAGGGCAAGAAAGTTCATCAGTAGGAATCAAGAATCATCACCAATATAAGGTAAGGGGGATTCTAACTCTATAAGGGTTTTCCTAATGATGGGGTATGGTGGTGTTTAGGTTCCATGGTTGTATGCTTTTGATTTCTCCCTATTTGGTTGTTTTGGGGTTTTACCCTTTGATGATTGATTTTGATGCATTGTGTGTACCATTGATGTTTGATATGTGTGGTAATTGATGTATGATGATAGGGGATGATAATATGGGGTTTGATTGTGCATTATCTCATGAAGTTCATGTTTTTAGAATTAAGCCAAAAGGGTTTTCGCACTGCTATTTTTCTGAACCCGTAAAACTGTTTTTCACAGGGTGCAATCGATTTGCAGTGCAGGTGCAATCGATTGCACAGTTCAATTTTGGTGAATTTATCTTCTGTTTCAGTAAGAAATCGTTTCGCACTATAGAGCAATCGATTTGCACTGCTTAAAAACTTGATTTTTGGCCTCTGGAACAAGGTCCAATCGATTTGCATGTTAGTGCAATCAATTGCTCACTGTTTGACAACATTTTTGAAAACTTGAAAACTCCATAACTTTTGACTCGGGTGTCTGTTTGACGCTCCGTTTGGATCGTTGGAAAGCTAAAAATAATTTCTACAATGTGGTAATAATTTTGATGACAGTAGACTAATATTTCATTGGAATAATTCTGATGTGTGCGTATGTTATATGTGTTGTAATGCAAAATGTTGCGATTGAATGTATTAGTGTTGTATAAACGATGTACGAAGGATTTTGCATGATGTATTGCATGATAATGCCTGTATTGGCGAAAGATGACCTATATTAGAGAGACATTGATAAGTATGAACAATCAATGTAAATTAAGTTGTTGCATGTCAGTGTCGCATGCATTCATTAAAGATGGCCTATATTGGCGAAAGATGGTCTGTATTGGCGTTGTTGCCCCAAGTTGGCATTTATTAAGTTGAGGGTTTTGCCCTATTGGTACCACATGCATAGAGTCAGTATCATCCTTATTATATTACACTATTATTATTAATCGATAGTTTGATTATTAAATGAATTTCTAGTTCCATTATGATGGATGTTTGTGTTGTTTGTTGCACATAATTATATTGATGTGTTTCACAGTATGATAAACGATAAAAAGGTGTGAGATAAAGATGTATAATGATGTGTACTTGAATTACTATATGTTCATTATTATGCTTCCTCTTATATTGTTATGATATCTCACCCTTTCTGTTTGAATGTTGCCTCTACGTGGGTAACGTGCAGATGATCCGAAGTAGCTCGAGGTCATGGTTAGCTGAAGAGTTCCTTCAGTTCTGTGTAGATTGAGTCAATGTCTGCTCTGATACATAACACTTGAGGGTTTCACATTTGTTTTATTTTGTTGGAGTGAACTTTGCACTACTCCATTGTTTGAGTTTAATTTATGACTATGCTAAATTTTGAAAGATGATAATTATGACTCTAGTTGGAGAATTGAGATGATTCTTTATTTATGTTTTCCGTTGCGAATAAATGAAAGGAGGTTTAAGACTTTTGAACATATGAATTATGTTGCGTATCTTATTTAATGAGCATGTATTATGTATGAAGCATATGGCATCCTATTTTGATGTTGTATTTTAGAAATTAATTTACTCTGATTTTTATATAATTTACCGATGGGGAAATAGGGTGTTACGTAATGCACTACCTCTTACGCATAAGGGCAGAGGCTTTACTTCCTCATCCTTCTGCTGGACCGCGTAGGCTACGCGTACTTCTGAGGGCCATACGCGTAACAAATGGAGTGTTATGCATATGGGAAGTTCTTTGGTCAATTCTCGCATTTTTCTTGCCTTTGACCTGCTGACATACCAAAAGCATAAAATATCCTCAAGAAACTCATAATTCATGGCACATTGAATTTAATTGAAACAAATTAAACTACTAATAGAATGCATTCTAATTCATACAATTTACCTGACTTATTGATGATACAATAATGAAAATAATAGATCAAATGGTGACTGATCCTCTCTTGGGGAATCCTACAAATATAATTTCCTCTATAGGGGACAAGGATCCTATCTTGAGGGATCCATCAAATATAATTGGTGTCTCTCACGGACTCAGATTTCCTGCATAAATATGGGGAATGATATAATCATAGATAAATCAGGGATGAGACGCCTCGTTTAATACCCTTGTTGAAGGTGACAAAAAAAAACACAAGAAGTGAGTTGAATTGTGTTAACTTTTTCACTCTTTTTCTTTCTCTTCTGAAATCTTTTATCAGTTTTTGAGCACTAGGTAAAGAATCTGATTTAGAGTTAATGTTTAGTAGCGAATAAAATAGTTTAGAGGTTGAGAGGAAAGAAAGAGAGACACAACCAGTTATCTTGGTTCCTCCATAAATTAAGAGTAGTCCAGTCCCCTTGTACTACAAGAGATTTTCACTATAATCACAAATGATTACAATTTGCTCAAGCACATAAGCAAGAGACTTCCTTTGCTAAAACACACAAGTAAGAGACTTCCAATGCTCAAGCACACAAGCAAGAGACTTCAGATGCTCAAACATACAAGCAAGAGACTTCAAATGCTCAAGCACATAAGCAAGAGACTTCTACAGTCTAACTTAGAAAGAAAGACTGTTTGAGTATTACACTTGATATACAATTAGAGATGTAAACATGGTACAACATAGAAAAACTCTAAGATTTAGGAATTTCTAGAATATACAAGTGTTAAAAATTCCTAAGTTAAGCTTGTGTAATTGTTTTGACAGACTAACAAATCTTTAGTTGTCAAGGTGAAATGTTATAGTTTTCTTCAGATCTTCAACTCCTTAAATAGAGGAACAAAATAGAATTGTTGAAGAAGACTTCATGCACAATAAGTCTTTTTGGATAAGCATCACCAGAGACATTGGAAAACTTCCTGATATGGTTAATGCATCGAAGAAATCATTTTAAATTTATTATCTTAATAAATAATTATTTGTTCCATCTTCTGCTATCTCTAAACTTGGATCTTCACATGATCAGAAGAAGACAATTTGCTTTTAGATTCTGATAGTAGCCTATCAGAGGTCCTTGATCCTAGCTCTTTGATTGACTTTATAGTATGAGTATTCAGAGTCTAGATCTTCAAGGGTTGACTTTCCTTAGATTCTGATCTTCACATGTTGACCTCTCTATAGTCTGAGTCTTCAGTGTCTAGATCTTTAGAGGTTGACATTCTTCAGACTCTGGTCTTCAGGTTCTGGTCCTTCTGATTCTAGTTCTTTTAGCTTCTCTTTAGCGTTCAATTTCAAGTTCTAGAACTTAGTTTCTATCACAGATTTAATATATGTTTCTGCACACTTGAACAAACATTAGTATACATAATTGTTATTTAAATACTTTGTTATCATCAAAACTTTATGGATGTGGTACAAACCAATTTTGTTCCAATAATATCTCCTTTTTTGATGATGACAAACACAAGTACTTAAGAATAGTGTTTGTTAATTTAATCAACAAGTTAACTTTAGGGTCTGAGGTTTTTAAGCCCCCTTTGAGTTTGATAGTCCTAAGGGTGAGGTTTGTAATCTCCCCCTAAGTTCTATGCAGGTTAATTAAATTTATCATTAAAGCACAAAATAATAATTCTTCAAAATTTAAGCAAGAATTAAACTGTTATATTCAGAAGATTAAATACTTATTTTCCTACTCCCCCTTTTGTCATCAATAAAAATAATATAAAGAAGGAAATAAGAAAAGATCCTGAAGAAAAATATCATTAAAACTAGGAAAATGATTGTTCATAAGCAAAATATTTTTAAAGACAGTTTAAACAATAAACAAAGGTTATAAGATCTAAAGCTTGGGGTTTCTTGAAAAGCTCTAGGATGTTCTGGAAATAAGAACCCATTTCATCTTACCTAGCAATCATTGTTTTCATCTGAACATTCATCTCTTCTTGCTTAGCAACCACTGATTGAATTTGAGTACCCATTCCCTCTTGAGAAGTAGCAACATTCTAAAGCTAAGCCCCCATAGATTTTGAGTAGAAGAAACAAAATCCAGTTTAGCCTTTATCTTCTCTTGCTTCTAACTGGAAGAAGCTATAGACTCAATGAAAAAACGCTTCAGATTCTATAGAAATCTATCCGTAGAGGTTTTGAGAGTGTCCCATTTAGCTACAAAAGTTATGTGATTAGATGCAATGAGCCTCTTAGCAACCAAATTTTGAACCTTGACAAAGATAAAAGTCATAAACTCTTCCATTTGGTATAAGATATGAGGTGAAAGGTTCAACTTTTGAGAGAGGTGGGGTGTATAGGGAGTAGATAGATCTATTATGCCAGATGGTTGAGGTTGTTGGTTAAAGTGTATGTCAGGTAAAGTTTGGTATTTTGTGGCTTTTGGTTGAGGTTGGTCCAAGATGACATGTTCAAGGTCATTTTGTATTTCAATTTATGGTTGAGGTTGAACAAGGTGGTTTTTAGTGTTGGTTTGGTCTTGAGTGTCTTGATCAGCTCCAGTTTGAAGTTCAAATGCATATTGAGCTTCAGATTAATATTGAACAAGATTTGGTTGAGGTTCAGGCTCAAGTTGGGTTTGGGATTCTGGTAAATATTGGTCTTGGATTACTTGTTCAGTTTCAGATTGAACTAGAATTTCAATATGATCAAGGTTTGATAGGTTTGGTTCAACAGAACAGGTTTGGACATTTTTTTGGGGTTCAGAGGGTTTTGTTTCAATAGGAATAACTTGAATAGGTTCAACCATAAGAGGTCTAAATTCAAAGTTATCAAACTTAGAGAAAGCACTTGAGCTTGAGCTTGATTTAGAACTTGAAACCTCAATAGGGGGTTCAAAGATGATGTTTAAGGGCTGAGGTTGGTCAGAAATAGAGAGAAGTACTAGCTAGTTTTTTTCATTAGTTAACTCACCAGCTTGGTGACTTATCAATTCTTCTAAGACAAATGCTTTAGGGACAATTTCTGGTTGAGAAAAGTCCGTAAGTATCTGACTAATATTATGAGAATATGATGCATCAGTTTATGATTCTAAGGTTGATTTGGTAGAGGTCGTGACAGGACCTATAGAAAGTTTCTAGTCAAGTTTTGGTGAGGGTGCATGTTCTGATGATTGTGAACGAGATTGAGGTGGAGTTGGGGTTGCTAACTTGGTCAAGAGAGGTGAAATGGAAGAATTTAAAACATTATCAGAGACAAAATTTAGAGGATTACCTGTGAGAAAAATCTCCACAACATTTGAAGCAACTTGACATTCTTCCACAATAGTTTCAAGAGCATGAGTAGTAACCTCTTTTGGCACAAGAGAAACTCCAAATTCAGAAGAACCCTCATCCTTCTTCAATACAACTTATGCTTCATCTTCAGTTTCAACTTCCACCTGCATCAACAGAACTTCAACAATGGAAGGATGTTCCATGGCCTGATTGATCAATGTAGATGCTATCAATTTGGCTTCGTCATGAATAGCCTATGTAGAGAGGTTCTGATCTTCTTTATCAACAACCTTGGCCCTCTTGACCAGAGGTTATTCATCTTTTTCTATTTTTGGAAACACCATCTTCCTTAGCTTCTTCTTCTTGATAGATGTAGTCAAATCAGGGGTTATCTTTTGAGGAGTTTTGCTAGTGGCTCCACTTCCTGTCTTGGTAGGCATCAAGACACTTGTACATGTAACTTTGTAAACCTCCTTCTGAACTTCTATCTGAAGTACAACCTTCTTCTTTATGAACTCCTAAATAACTTCAAGATTGTCCAACTTGGAGATGTAGGGGAAATCATTAATAAAGGCATTTTTGAATTTTTTTTATTCTAATCCCAAGTGTAGGTTGCATCACATCTTTCTTCAAAATAATCTTCATATTTCCCAAGACCGCAACTGAAAGAATATTTCCAACAGTTTCTTCCAAATCTTTTGTAGCACCATAAGCCATCAGAGTCTCAATCATCCTACTATGATGAAACAACTCAGAAAGAAGTTTTGCATAAGGAAAATTCTTCTTGTAATTCTTGTTGGTCCCTTGGATAGCTTCACACAAGTGATTGAAGATGTACGATGGTGTTAGGTGTTAAATATGTGTATATTTCCATATCAAAAGTTGACATTTTAAAGCTCTTTTCATTGCATTTGATGATTAAGTTTGCATGATTGCTTGATTTAAGCTCTAATGTAGATATTGTGGTATTCATAATGTATTTGTTAGTTTTTCAGGTAAATAGGAACAAATGGGCCTCAAATGCATGTCCATAGAAAGAAGAATTGAAATCAAGCAAAAACTTACAATTTGAAAGTTTTTGCTCTGCGAGAAAAGGCGAAGGTCTGGCGATATTGTCAGGCGAACAAGACGTGAGGAAGGAGCGAGGTGAAAAGTTAAAATTCCAGTAGCTACTGACTTGGTGTCACGAGGCAATTTGTCGGGCGAGCATGGAACATGCAATTCTTTGGGTGATTCTTGTTGGCATCGGGAGAATGAAGATATTTTTTTCTAGGGCGGTTTGAGATTTGAACTGATTGGTGTAAAAGCTAAAGTGGAAATTCGCCCAGCGAATTTCTAGAGCGCCTGAAGAATTTGTCTAGGAAGGAGTTGTTTATTTAGGTCAGGTGTTAGATATTTTGGGATTCATTCCATCTTTTACACACACCGTGACCTAGAAAACTCTTGTAAGAAAAAACAAAGCAAAAATTTAATTTAATCGATTAATCGGAGCTGAATTTGCATTCTTGATTGATTAGTCATCTTGGATGCTCATCCATCTCTCTTCATTTACTTGTTGATCAAGCTACCATGGTGATGGGTAGCTAAATACTTCTTGTGTCAATATTAGAGGTAGTTAATCTAAGTAATATGTATTTTCTTTTGATCTTTTGTATGTGAATCTTGTTGATGATCAATATATGATTAATATCTTTGTTTTTAATGTCATATGTTTGATTTTAATCACTATTGAAATGTATTTTTCAAACCTTGAATTAAGATATTCATCTATCGATAAACAAACTCTAGACATAGAATTATGAGTTGATATTCACTTGTATCAAGCTCTAAAGATTATTGTGTTAATTGTTAGCATGAGACATCATCTAGTAGTAACATGATAATGCTCACTGTTCTACCCCAAAATTTTCCCTCCCATATTTCTCAAAACATTGCAAGAAAGATCTCCAAGTTGCTCAAGGTAGTCCAAGGGTTGGCCAAACAAGCTCTCTCCTAAGGCAGTCTACCCCAAAATAGGGTTTCATGTTGCATCAATATACTTGAGTCCAAGTGACCCCAAGCGCTAACCATTGTCCTAATATGTTCTCAAGATCATCCATGTCAAGTTTCAAGCCTTGCAGAGGAAGTTTGCTCAGTCAATTGCTCAAAGGTCCTGAAAATCGACTATGCTAGGGCAAAAGTCAACTGTGGCCCACATATAGTCAAACTTCAAGATTTTTGGTCAACATTCTCATTTTTAAGGATATTTCATTATTTGATCAAGGGTTGGTCATGATTTATCATGGATTGCTCATAATTCATCAAGACTCAAAAGTTGCTAAATTAGGGTTTTGCAGGAAAAGTCAACTCAACTTTGACCAAGAATAACTTTCTCATACTTTATGAGAAATGACCCATCCAAAGCTCATTTTGAAGAGGATGCAATTCCCTAAAATCCATCTTCATATCCCAAGATCAAAATATGCACTCACAAGAAGTTATGAATTTGGACATTATAGGTCATTTTGAAAAGTAAACAAAAACACCTTTTTTGTCAAAGCTTCTAACTTGAGAATTCAATATCAAAATGATATGAGACCAAAAGGGTTGGTTAGAGGACATCTCAAGCTTTCTAAAAAGTCCAAGAACACCTCCAAAGAGTCAAAATTGAGAGAGATATGCATTGTCAAAGTTGGACAATTTTTGAAAAAATGCATAAAGCAAATATTGACCAAACTTGGATTTTTTCCAAATGGGCCTATCTTTTCAAGTTTTAAACTCATTCCTAACATGGTCCAAGACCTCTAATCCCACCCATACATTTTTCTACTATTTATGCTATTTATTTTGATATTTTATTCATTAAAATTCAGAATTAAATAAATAAATAATGGAAATAATGTAAATTTTGATGTGAATCCATTTTGGGAAAGTTTTATGCTGGTTTATGTCAATTGATTTCGTGCAATAACTTTTCAAATATGTCCAGGTTCATCCACATGTGAAAATGGCATAAAATCATCAAATATGTCATTTTTTTCCAAATCTTGATCAGGGTCTTAAAACACAACATTATGAGGGAGATTCTTTCCATGCTTTCTTGTCTCCTCATTCTCTTCTATAAATATAGAGCCATACAAGCTTGAAAGGGACGAAAATCCTCTCTAAAAAGCTCTCAAAAAGCTCTTCAAAAAGCTCTCTAAAAGCTCTTCAAAAAGCTCTCCAGAAATCAAAGAATTGGTGCAAGTCATATCTCGAGGTTCCGGTCTCTCTCAATTGACATCAAGCCTCAAACTATCCTCTTGAATTCCTCAAGAGTCTTACAAGGCCCAAGAGCAATCCATCATACGCCTAACACGCCCCCATTTGACAACACCGGTTTGGTAAAATTTTAAATTTCGAATCTCTAATTTTAATCATATTTTATGGTATGCTAACGTTTGCTTGAGTTTATATAGAACATTTATGGATGTTTGAATCATAGGTTCCACGCAAGAATAAAAAAACACCATAGTTAGAGCATGAAGCTTTCGAAGATTCGGGCCTAGAGATTTCTGGTGATTGCACCCCCACATTGCAGGCCCAGTTTGCTTTTCTCTAATTCTTTTATATTTATATTATTTCATTTATTTATTTTACTAACCCATCAAATTATTTTCTTTTTTATCAAAAAATCACAAAACATTTTTCTATCCAGATAAATTCAAGATATTTATTTTTATTATAAAAAAAGTAATTAATTTAATTAGGTTATTAATTATTAGACAACTTTAATTTCTTTTTACATAATTAAAATTAATTAGAATAAATAGGTTTTATTACTAACTTAATTATTTTATTTCTTTCCTAAAATAACAAAAACCCAAAAATATGTCATTTAATTATTTTCATTAATTAATTTAATAACCAATCAATTTTGCATTTAATTTAAAAATCTAATTTTTTTCTTAAAAAAATATATAAAACAACAAAAAAACATTTTCTTTTTTTAATTAGGATAGAAGGGTCAAAACCCTAATTTCTCGTCGATCTAATTTTTAATCGCGCGCTTTATTATTATTTTGCCCAATTATTGTATCTGCTCACAGTTTGTAATAATTTAATTAGGATGTTTATTTACCTTTACCGCTTTTATTTATTTATTTTACGATATTTAATGTAACTGCTCATGGGATGTAATAGTTTAATTAGGACATTTATTCTACATTTATCGCTTTAATTTCAAAGGGTTTGTTTTTAGCTATGTAAATACCCGAAGCCTTGTAATAGCTTAATTTAATTTCCGCATTTTAAATTCCGCAAAATATTAACTGTTAGATGTATGATTTAGGATGCATGACAAGAATGTATGTTTAATTTTAAAACGGTTAGATAACCCTAAACATGTGCAAAGATAAAAAAAACTGAAATCAACACATTCGCACATGCGCACTCCTAGGGTACACTCCCACTTGGTTGCCTTTGTACACGGTCATTGAGTATAGGTTGTTTTAGAGGTCGCCCTCTTGTCTAAAAGATCATAGTTGCCTCGAAATGATTGCCTCGGATATTGTTGCCTCAGATAAATGATCTAAGACATTAGGGTTACCACTAAGACAATCTAACATTGCTTTAGTGACTGTATGTCCCTCTTTAGAATTGACCCTCAAACTCCAACGACGGTGCTACCTACTCACTAATAGTGGGATAGCGCTGTCTAAAGGAAACGAACATAGAATGATTCTTTTTTCGAGTAGGTAGATTAGTTCTTAAGTACTTGCTCATTCCAAATAAATTTTTCACATTTACACTCCTTTACAAACAAAGTTTTCAAAAACACTTCATTACACTCTTGAAGACAGAAGCAAGAGTTAAATCGAAGTTAAAACAAAAACTTTTTCAAAACCCACAAACACAAAGAAAATAATTTTGAAAATGATGAGCAAGTACCTAAGAGCCCGTAGATAACTACGGATAGAAAGGGTTCTAATACCTTCCCTTTCTATAATCTACCCCCTGTACTCAGAAATATCTCGAAAAAGGAATTTTTCTGTGCTTTTTCCTTTCCTTGTTGGATAAAATAAAAGACGGTGGCGACTCTTGCTTACCGCGACATTTTGCAAACACAAACGCAAAACGCAAACCAGCATTCCAAAAAATAGTCAGTTCTTCCACCGTATCACAGAACTGGCGACTCTACTGGGGAATATTTTATAAGTGGGGTGTACCTTAGGAATAGTTCATATTGTTTTCAATTGCTTGACTTGTATGATTTATCTTTGTGGGTTTGAATCGAAGTTACTATAGATCCTAACCCGGATCTGAGGGACACCCTTTAGGTAAGTAGCAATAAACTGTGAGGGAACTGTACGACATAGACCGATACGGTTGAAGCAGTAGCTACATTGGTGTGGCACTTTAGTTTGTACCGATATCCCTTGTGGCGCAACGAGGAGAACATGGGTCTGCTAAGGGGTCATTAAGCATCAACTGACCTTAGAACCTATAATTGACCAACTTGGCCATAGAAAAGTAGCAGTATGCTACACTCATTGAGACCATACTCTCGCGATGATTCCGGTCGCAAGAAAAGGTTGCTAAACTGGAATTATGACCGATCGAGGATGGTCAGTGATATTGAGATCCTCTAGAACCCGGTTACTATTACTAGGACAGGTTGAACCAACTAAACTGAAAGAGGGTAATACCTAAACTCCATGTCAGCCTGAAACTTAAGGGCTATTGTGTGACTTGTGTGCTTTCAACTTGAACTA